ATGCTTATACTTAAAATCAAAGAGTTGAAATTTCTAGAACACATGAGCAAAGTATGCTTGGAAAATTTTATACTCACAGTGCATATGAAGGTGAGAGTGAGAGTAGTAAACAGTGAGTAACCTACCTAACAAGCTTTTGTAAATAGATAGCAGAATGGAATTGGAAGAGGGTAGCAAAAAAAGACAAACATTACTAAGAGCCATAAAAGAGAGGCTGTAGTGGAGAGCTATGATCTCCTGCGACTTCAAGGCACATGGTACTTAAAAAAACTAAACTACTATTCAAAGATTCATCTGAAAGATTCCAAGATGAAGAAAAAAGAGACTTATATTAAAGTTTGGTGACTTATAACTTCTAATCATGTTCTTAAATAGCCACATCAGATTGAGACTTTCATATGGCTATCATGCATGGTACCAAACCTATTCAGAAATATCTAAACTGTCAGCTGTATACAACCATTTACTCAGATCAGTGGTTAAAAATGGCTTTCAATGAGTGAAGCCTGTTGGTCTTGGCAAAGACTATCCTTCTTTGAATGTTGTGGACTGCTGCTACATAATGATAAATGAAGACTTGTACTAAATAACAGAAGGCACTTGAGGAATTTCAACAGCAACATCAAAAATTGATATCATATCTAACTTGAAGAAAAAATGATATTATCTAGATGTTGATGTTCCACACTATTTCAAACAAAAAGCTTGAAAGGAAACCCCCATCAATACTGGAAAAGGCAATAACAACTACTGGACTTGAGAAACCTATTTTCCTGAAAAATAAATTTAAGAGAAAGATTTTATACATTTCAACCAAAAGCAGCACTGGCTGCTCAGTCAATGAATGTTGAACGTATCCTTGAAAGGCAATGACTAATATTACGATTATCATAACAAAAAGCTGTTGCTACTTTTAATCAGCCAAACTGTGTTTAAAAGATAACTTGCTATCTAGTTTCAGCTATTAAGGTTATTTTGCATTTAAACTGTTGCTTTCTAGAAAGGCTCATTATACAGGCAGTTCATTTTATTTAAGGCTGCCTGGAATAACACTCACTACAAAAAGGTATCTATTATAGTCATTGCTGTTCTTACGTTAGAATTTTTCAGATTAAATATCTGTTGTCCTTTTAATACAACTAGCATTATATCTATATATATATATATATATATATATATATCTGTCTGTATATGGATCTATATATATCTATCTATACATTTAGTTGAATGGATATGAGTTTGTGACCATCAGTTTCCTGTTTATATGATCCTCAGACAAACTGACATACATACATATGGGTGTAGGCATTATGGTTTGCACAAACATGTACATACATAAACAATGCAGGACCAGGCGCAAACATGTATCCATATGTCCGAGCCCACATTTAATTGTGTATGTATGCAGGTTCGAATGATACAATTTTAAGTGTATAATTGGTCTTATCAGAAATTGGTTGAGAAAGTCAATATCAGGTTTTTTTTTTTTTTTTTAAAACACTAAATCCACTTATAATCTCTGTAACTAAGTTTTTTTTTTTATACTTAATGCTGACCCTCTTGACTTAGGTTAAAACAAACTGCATTGATGGTACCAACTTATTTTGAGTCTCACCTTCACTCCTTAGAATTTCCAAGAAATTTCTGACTCCATATATTTTTAAACACTCATAACTTTTAAGAACAGGAAAGTAGAAAGATATTTTTCAGGTTATCTAGTGATGGGTAAGAGCACAGGAAGATGTAGATTCATGACTTAAAAGTATTAGCACTAAATGAACTTTGTTTACTGATTCTGTTTGCCAAGCTGATAATTGCTATGCTAATTTGAACTTTCATGTCGTAACTTGGCTTCATGAGCAATGATGTTCAAGGGTATCTGATGGAAGCCTTTATAGCTAACAAAGCCCACACAGGACATTACTGGATGAGTGGAAAACCTACTGGCTTACATCAGCTTTTAAGTGTAATATGCACATTATCAACCCCACCTAATAAAACAGTTTACATACCAAGGCTCAACAGATTGGGATGGTAGTAAGATCCTTTAGCTGTAGGTTTTTAGTGGGCTTTCCTTTTCTGGGACAGATTACCAAGATGGCTGAAGAGGTTTGATGCCTCATTAAAAGTTTACTTATCCACACATGTATACATTGAGATATATGGTAATATGACACTGTGCAAGGAGAAATGAGTTCATGCTTTTAATAAGAGCATTAATGCTAAAGATATATAGTGTAATGGTTATCAAGCTCAAAAATTGGAATCACCAAGATGAGTTCAAATGACAGTTGATTTCATAAACTTTGTACTAATGCCTTTGGAAAATACAGGAATTCATCTTCACCCAGTTGTAAATTAAACTTGGATAGCAGCCTGTCTAGAAAAATGAAGACACCATTTTACTATTAAAATAGCTAAATGCAATCATTGCTTCTATAACAGTTTGTTTTCTCAAATTCCCACCTGTGGAACTCCTTTTTGTTTACTTGCTTCCCTGATAAACAAAATCTTCAAAAATTTAAATGCAATATCAATCGCCATCTTCTGCCTTGTTGAACCCTGTTTATATTTTGTCATTTCCTCACTTCTCCCTATTTTCTATCTTATCTTTCACTTAACACTCTCTCAAACCCTGTGTACTAGTAGCATCCTTACCTTGCTTTAGGTGAAATGATAAAAAATTAAAAAAAAAAAAAAAAAAAAAAATGGATGTTCGTACATCATTTCTCTGTTCACAGACCTTCTGAGAAGCATGGTCAGCTCTATACAAGTCTTCACCATTATAACCAAATCAACTGGTGGTTGAGTTCTAAAACTCATCTGCTGGCCCCTCAGACATCAAAACTGACAAGAGATTCCAGGTCATGCCATCTCCGTGCAAGCATCCATTGCTAAGTGAACATAAGCATCTTCAAGAGAAATTTGTCAATTTGATTTTCCATGCTGGCAATCACTGACCCACCGCCAATCTCTGTATACTTCCTAATATAATTTTATTGTAGGAGCTTAGTGTCAAATGTTGAAAGTGCTAGTTATTCCCTTAAGAGTGAGACAGAAATGAACCTGATCAAGATTTAGATAGGAGAATATTTAGGAACAACTTGTGGCTTAGTGACACACTCAGAAAAAAAAAAAAAAAAAAAAACTATGTTTGGGCATGTATTTTACATATATATATATACATATACATACACACACGTATATACATGTTACCTTACATTAAAAGTACGACTGAGTTTCAATCTTCAGGCCAAAGTCATACATTCGACATAAGGTTATTTTATATATATATACTTTATAGTTCTGTATTACCACATTGAGCACTGTTTTGTTAACACCAAAAGTTAAATATTTATTTACAAATTTACGTATGCGCATCTTGTATCTATATTTAATTCATATTATATATATATATATATATATATATATACACACACATAGGAAGCATATCTTCATTCAAACATGTTTCATTGAATAATACGGACATGTCTATTTTTATACTGATCTTTCCAATTGAGTTGTCTACTCAGTTTCTTGATGTTCAGATGAAATTCTTCAAGGAAGGTGCTATAGTTTTTTCCTACCCAATTACTATATATATATATATATATATATATATATATATATATATATATGTGTGTGTGTGTGTGTGTGTGTGTGCACTAGTATTGAAAGTTAACTGTTGCAAATTTCATATTATTGAATTAGCAATTTCAATTTAACAAATAATTAGGCTAACTTAACTCATCTCTTTTAGGCATCAGCTTAAACTGACACCGCCTATATAATGTGACCATTTTGCTTAAAATTCATATTTATTCTTTATTTCAGGTGAAAATTTGGATTTTTTTCTAAAATATATCACTGAACATTTCACTTATAGTTTTGATACATATGTGGGGGGAAAAAAGTGTTTAAACTGATGCCTGGAGTATATAAATTTCAGAAATTCTAGATTCTGCCTATCAAGTTCTTATTCACTTGATATCTTAGATGTGCCTTTTATAAAACACCCCCATGTTGCATCATCTCATTTGATGAATTGCTGGACATTTTTTTTTACCTGTCTCTTTTACAGAATTAAGGAACAAATATTGCAAATGTATTTTCTCACCAACATTGATTCTCGTGCGTTCTGTTAAATGGCCTTACAACTGAGAAATTCTTTTTTATTATTGCAAATAGTATTTTAGCAAGTCATTAACAAATTGGTTTGCTTGGAGACAGGGAGCTAAAATCATAGTAAAACAAAGTCTTTGGTTAACAGCCAAGTTGAGGGAGTATATCCACTTTGTCCTTAAGGGGCCTTTAGGAAGATTGTCAGTGGCTCTTGTCTGGGGAAAAACCTGTTAATGTAAAAGCTGATACCCAGGGAATAATAGAAAAATGGACCAGCAAATATTGTAAACAAAAGGCAAGAAGAATTAAAAAAAGAGAAATAGAGAGGGGAGAGAGGGGATAGAGAGAAATATGAAAGAGAGAGTCTAGAGAGAAATATGAGAGAGGGGATAGAGAGAAATATGAAAGAGAGAGTCTAGAGAGAAATATGAAAGAGAGAGTCTAGAGAGAAATATGAAAGAGAGAGTCTAGAGAGAAATATGAAAGAGAGAGTCTAGAGAGAAATATGAAAGAGAGAGTCTAGAGAGAAATATGAAAGAGAGAGTCTAGAGAGAAATATGAGAGAGGGGATAGAGAGAAATATGAAAGAGAGAGTCTAGAGAGAAATATGAAAGAAAAAAAAGTCTCCAGAGAGAGAGAGAGAGAGAATATGAAAGAGAAAAAAAAAGTCTAGAGAGAGAAATATGAAAGAGAAAAAAGTCTCTAGAGAGAGAGAGATATACGAAAGAAAAAAAAAGTCTCTAGAGAGAGAGAGAGAGAGAGAGATATACGAAAGAGAAAAAAAAGTCTCTAGAGAGAGAGAGAGATATACGAAAGAGAAAAAAAAAGTCTCTAGAGAGAGAGAGAGAGAGAGATATACGAAAGAGAAAAAAAAGTCTCTAGAGAGAGAGAGAGAGAGAGATATACGAAAGAGAAAAAAAGTCTCTAGAGAGAGAGAGAGAGAGATATACGAAAGAGAAAAAAGTCTCTAGAGAGAGAGAGAGAGAGAGATATACGAAAGAGAAAAAAAAAGTCTCTAGAGAGAGAGAGAGAGAGATATACGAAAGAGAAAAAAAGTCTAGAGAGAGAGAGAGAGAGAGATATACGAAAGAGAAAAAAAAGTCTCTAGAGAGAGAGAGAGATACGAAAAGAAAAAAAAAAGTCTCTAGAGAGAGAGAGAGAGATACGAAAGAGAAAAAAAGTCTCGAGAGAGAGAGAGAGAGAGATACGAAAGAGAAAAAAAAGTCTCTAGAGAGAGAGAGAGAGATATACGAAAGAAAAAAAGTCTCTAGAGAGAGAGGGATATACGAAAGAGAAAAAAAAGTCGAGAGAGAGAGAGAGGGATATACGAAAGAGAAAAAAAAGTCTCTCTCTCTCGCGAGAGAGAGAGAGAGATATACGAAAGAGAAAAAAAAAGTCTCTCTCTCGAGAGAGAGACGAAAGAGAAAAAAAAGTCTCTCGAGAGAGATATACGAAAGAGAAAAAAAAAAGTCTCTCTCTCTCTCGAGAGAGAGAGATACGAAAAGAAAAAAGTCTCTCTCTCGAGAGAGAGAGATACGAAAGAGAAAAAAAAAGTCTCTCTCTCTCGAGAGAGAGATATACGAAAGAGAAAAAAAAGTCTCGAGAAAGAGATATACGAAAGAAAAAAAAGTCTCTAGAGAGAGAAATATGAAAGAAAAGAGTCTGGAGAGAGAGAATAGAAAGAAAAAAAATGGTAGAAAGAGAATGACGAAAAAGTGAATATTTAGAGCAAATAACAGAAAAGAACGTTGAGAAATCCTTCATAACAAAATTATTTAAGGCAAGAAATTCTTGAAAACAGAGTGAAAAGAGCCGTGAGAAAAGGAAAAATAAAAGAATCAAAGTTAAATTTATTGTCAATTGTTTTCATTTTAATTTTTTTTATCAACCATTTGGGGCTATTTAAAGCCAAAATCTTTTGAATTTTAGTAGGTTGTTTCCAGTATCCAGGGTTCCTATCTAAGAACATACTTTGCTTGACAATGCTTAACTTCAGTGAGCCAACAGGAACCTATATTTTCAGCGTGACTGATGTAAAGCAAGAGGAAAGAATAAATGAGAAATAGAAAATAAAATAAAGCCATATTGAAATTAGGAAAAAGAGAAAAGAAAGAGAGAGAGAGAATTAGATGTTGAATAATTCATCACAACATTGTTTGAAAGTGAAAAGATCAGTGAGAAAAAGATGGGGAATGAAAGTAAGATAGGAAAAGGAAAGGGGTGATATACAAAGTAGAAAGTAAAATAGAAATAAAACAGAAGTGTTAAAGAGAAAAAAATGAAAGAGAGGAATTTTAAATGAGAGATGGAGACAAAAAAAAAATGAAAGAAAAGAAAAGGAAATAGGAATTTTAAAAGAAAATAGAAACCAAAAAATATTTTTAACTTTTTTTTTTTGAATAGCTTTCAAAATGGTGGGGTAACCCCAGGAAAGTGTCCTGTCAAGTAGTGGTGAACCCTACAGTAATAAGACAAAACCAAGCAAACAAAAAATAAATGAGCAAGTTGATACTGAAGTGATGTTTGAAAAGAATTGAGAAGCAGATTTTCATAATCAGTTGAGAACGCTTTCAGCAGGCGGGAAAAAAAATGGTGGACATTAATGCAGTGCCTGAAAATTATGGCATTTCTCTTTCTGAGAAGACATGTGCATGCATTTCAATAGTCTGCTTCATTAAAACTTACACAATCCACTAAAATCCAGAGGACCATCAACATCCACAGGGGTTGTGTATTTGAATTATGTCCCCACTCTATATAATTACTTTGAGAACCCGTAAAAATTCTACGGTTTTCTTATTTAAATTTTCTGATGAATTATAATCCTCAAGTTAATGATTGAATAAGCTCCTTGTGAGTTTCATGACTATAAAATATCCGTGGAAATTTCCCGATTGCATCGTTAAATATTTGAGATTAACAACCTAAAATATTGCAACGACAAATCATAAATTTGAATGCAAGTCATTATTTTAAGTAGTAAGAGGATACAAATGGAAAGATACAAAATTGAGTTTTTTCATTTCATTGAAGCAGACATGAAACGCTTGAGGTATATCGTCTCTACCTTTTATGTATTTTCTCTTTCACATTAGAATCAAACCTCGTTCGATATATTTTTCGTTCGTCTTTCCTCACAGCCAAAACGGAATTGTCTATTTATGAGGTAAAATAAATTTACACAACATGAGAAATATCATTATCATCTCCTTCCGGTCTTCTTCATTTTCCAGCGCAAATATAGATTCAACAATACCCTTGGTCACTTAGAGCCTAATAGTTACATAATCCATAATCTCAGCCGTGACCAAGCTGGGGTCAAAGGTATGGTCTTTGTAAGAAAACGAAGAAACGAATTAATTGAACCAATTTTATCAGTATTTTTAGCAAACGTTGGAAGTGGGTTTCTAAATTCTTAAAAAGCTTGTCTGAGATTAAATATCAGAATTGATTTAGTTCGTATAATTAAAAAAAAAATGTTTGTACTTTTCATTTCACGTCCGAATTATCGAGGAAATATTGTACATCAAAATTTAAAATTGAAGGCAGAACTTTGATATAAGCTGTAAGTGATGTATGTTGTTATTTCTCGCCATAACTTCCTCTTAAAATGCATATCATATTGATTCCTTTAATAAAAACGTTGCCTGATGAAACTCCTTCCCAAAACAATATCCGTGACTAATATCTTTCATTAACCATTCATTTGCCAATGTATGTTGAATATTGTTTGATAGATAGAATGCAAGTCATTATTTAAAGTAATAAAATAATGGAGACGTCGCAGTTTGCTTAAAGTCAAAATGAATATACAATTAACATTTTATTTCCAAAACAAACTAAATGTGAAGAATACAACAGTACTGAAGGAAATTGTGCATGTACAAATATCCTTATAGTATGTCGGTGTTTGAAATTACAAAATTGAGAAACTTACATTTGGTAAAAGTTTTTTATCACTTGTTTCGGTAGAAGTATTAGATATGCCTGTATGTAGTCAAGCAAATTCAATTCATTATGGTATCCTGTGGATTAAAAAAAAAAAAAAAACGGTCTTTCGCGCCTTTTTCTTATATACTGCCTTGGCAACGCCATCTAGCGATATTTAGTAGTACTTTGACAGACAAGTTAGATCATTCCCAACCACATCATTTTATTCATCCATAAATTTTTAAGTATAAATTTTATAATCATTAGATTTTTATGGCATGGGGCGCCTTTTTGTAGGTCCCCCCTTGAGAGGGTGTGGTGTATGGAGGATTGACTGGTGAAGGACGAGGTTTTATGGTGAATGTGAAAATTGTAATGAGGTATAAGAATGTCGACCAGCCTCAACCCCTCCCCTTTTTTACGTCCTTGTGCCCTAATTGTATTTTAAGATACAATAAATATCCATTCCCAACCACATGCATACATTAAATATGCTTTAATACGACATATTTAAGCAACAATGATTCCTTTAAACATCTTTCGTTAGATTTTCCCGTCAAGATCTATGTTTAAATTTTCGTTCTTTTTTCAAATTTTCGAAAGAAGTTGGAGAGAACATTGTCGTCTGTTATAACACTTCATAGACAGTTAATTTTTTCTACTTGGTTGATCCTGACGTCTTCATTTCACAGTTTGTATTTTTGCTTGTCCATTTTGATAATGACCGTACATTGTTTTTGTAACGAAGGAGTTGCCGAGTGAAGGTGTCTTTCGCCAGTCGCGAAAAGAATTCGTGTGGCAACATGCATTGTTTTTGTAGCCGTAAGCCGAATTGATTTCGGTGCGATTCGAACCTGAGCCCCGCATTAACCAGTTGATATTGATTTATCTGAGTAGGGTGAACGCACAATAGACAAGCTAAGCTGGGTTTTTTTTGGGGGGGAGGGTGACGGGTGACGGGTGACGCTATTTGCATATCCATATGCGAATTTAATCCAAACACCAAAATCGAGTACTTTGCGAGAGAATAAAAGAACGAACGAGATTGACACTGGCAGCGGGGAGAAAGGAGTTTTTCAGGGTTTCCCCTCCCCCGCCGGATATTTGTCATTCTTCTTCTATTCCGTGAAGTGCGGTGTTATATCACTGATATAATAATGCCCATAATGGGGGAAATTCAAATGTGAGAATGATTTTTTCTTCCATGACACCATTCCGTTATTTTAACAATATAGTCTTAATACTATAATATATACATTACAGTTTTAAGATTATATCTTACAAATAAATTCTAGTCAAATTTGCAGTTCTGAGAATCAACTTGCTATTAAATCCGTTAATAAGATGCATATTTGTCTTATGCCCCCCTTTTTTGTATACTTAGTAAGTTCATCTGTTTTATCCGTAAATTTAAACAATATGAATGAGACAATGTGCAAACATCAAGCAAGGGCATTACTAAGATGGAGACATATGGGCATTAGGGTGTCGGAGTTACCTCCTCCTTCTGTCCTTGAACCAGCAGAGGAACAGGTCTTTTCGACCTTGACCTCTCATTCATACTCCTTACACACTGTTAACACGTCAGAGGGACTAGCAAATCCCCTTTTTAGTTAGGCTATATTACAAACCTAGTTGTAATATACATCTAGTCATTTTTAGACATTAGTTATCTTTAGCTAACCTCGTAGCATTTTATTATAGACACTTTTCGGTTAGCTTAGCCAATTTCTCTTGCTGGTCCCCCGCGTCACAAGACAGTGATTTCTCCCTAGATTCTTGGAGGCTGTCGGCGGCTGCAACGGTCGTCTACACAGGCCCCTTGGCCTTCATTGGCCAAGGGCGCCGATCTACGGGCTGTGTATTAAGTTACGCTCCCATTTCTTTTTTGTCTGCCAACTTGACGATAGTTGGGAACTTTCTTTCTCTCTCCTCCTTCCCAACACGTCAAGTTGGCATCCCGGCAATGACAAACAACGTTGGCAACACGAACTGCTGCAACAAGTTGGCATCCCGGCAATGACAAACAACGAGTTGGCAACACTAACTACAGCAACAAGTTGGCACCCCGGCAACGACTCAGCTTCAACAACCAACAAAGATCATCCTGGCAACAACCCACATCAGCTTCAACCCCCAACAACGATGATCCTAGCAACTGCCAACCTCGACCATCAAACTTCTGCAGTATCCAGAACTCCTGCAGCTTCCGACTCACTCCTGCAGCTTCCAGCACTCCTGCTGTTTCCGGCTCACTCCTGCAGTATCAAGCACTCCTGCACCTTCCAGCACTCCTAGAGCATCCAGCACTCCTGCACCTTCCAGCTCACTCCTGCAGCTTCCAGCACCTCCACCGTTTCTGACCATCTTCTTTTCCTTTTAGAATAAACCTCTATATATTATATATCCTCGTTCTGTCGTCCATATTGTTTCACCGTCAGATTTAATCCGTCTAAAATGTTAGCGGGCCTCTTGTGACCTCGTTCACCCCTTTCTGTGAAACGGGGCCGCTGGACCGCCCGCTACAAGGGTCAGCTATTTTTGCCATGATCATTGTCTAAATGTTTGAGTAGCACTTCAGATTTCTTAATGGTCTATATTGATTTCTAACTCAAGGTTGGACAAAGTTGTTTAAAAAGAAAGTCTTTGCATATAAATAAAAATAATTTTGTAGTGTTTTTTTTTCTTCTTTTTATTGTACATGACACATTCGTATTTTCCGTTTGATTTTTGGCGGGACGTGTTGTCATTGGTTGATTTTTTTTTTTTATGACGTTCGTGGCTCACATAAGCTATATCCGAGTTTTGTCAGTTACCGCAGATAGAAACAATAGAATGAAGGAAAGGAAGTAATGTGTAACAGATGAGAGAGAGTTCTTTGTTACTCTCTTAGTGAAAAGGAAAGTATTTATTTCCATATAGTGTTACTACTACCTAATCCTTCTACAGTGTAATTTTAGGCTTGTTTTTTGAAGATGAAAAATAAACGAACATAATAGAAATAAGGCATTTCTGTTTACTGGTGCATGTATTTTACGTTACAATTGTGTTAATGTACCTTTTATAAAAGGGAGCAATTTATTCTGTAATATTACAAGTCATATCACAGAGGGAAGTTACACACGTGTTGTCTTACTGGCGGTTCTTGGGCGAAGAAGTTGAATATAACGTTTTTAGCACGATGTCCGTAATTCCGGCAGGAACAGTTTTTGTTGCATGCTGGGAAATATTTTATTATTTTAAGCGTTATTGATTTATTTTATTTACAACTTTCATTATTTTATTTATCTGTAACAATAATATTCCTACTATATATATATATATATATATAGCCGGTGTGAGGAAAAGGTCTTTTCATGCCATTCAAAAATTACGTGTGTAATTGAATGACAAATCTAAATGGAACTGAAACGATACTCTTTGATTTCCAATTCCGAGCTCTTGTTCATGACACCGCCCACACAGACAAGCCAGCACCTGGTATTCCTAAGGGGTCACACATCAAGGTATATTGAGTAGGCTCGACATTGCTTAACTTCGGTTATCGTACATATGTTTCAATGTGATATGGACGTGAACCTAATGTTTTCTCAATCAAGAGACTAAGAATGAATATGCAAAAATGTACGAACACTTAACATTTTATTGCCTAAGCAAACTAAATAGAACAGAAGGAGTTGAACTAATGTTTATATATATAAAAATGTGCCATTTCTTGTGTATGTGTGAAACTTTATGGGAGATTGTGAGAGACTTATATTTGAGTAGAGTTCTTTGTTGGTTTAGTAGATATTCCTGTGTTTAGTCAAGTGTATTAAGGTGCTGTATACACTGTTGTTTCCCCAAATGCTAGTAGATTTGTTAGTGATAAAATAGGCCTCCGGAGGAGGGAAAACTAGACACGTCCCATCTCAAAGACATCCTGTGAGGAAAGAGTATTAATTTTATTCCCTTTTACTTATATACTGCTTTTGGCAATGTCATTTAGCAGACATTAGTAGAAATTCTTCGGGAAACAAGAAGGTAATCCCGTAACAGATATATAAATCTTGGTATCTGGCAAGAATAACGGAACTGTGCTGAGTCCTGCGTTCCTGAACAATTTTAACTCTTCTGCCAGAGCTCGAGTCAAAATTCGCAAATAATTCGTATGTAATGTTTTAGGGTAGCTATAAAAATAGTTACAAGTGTTTACCCACCGTTCAACTGATGGCTGGGCATTACGTCATTTTTCTCTATCACCGGTAAAACGGTGGTCAGGGCTGAAAGGATTAAGTGTAGAGGACCGTGGCGGCGAAGATATAAAGAACATACGTGGGTTAAAATTTTCTGCTAGCCGGTCCAGCTACATAAGTCCAAAGAAAACAAACAAGACCGATAATTATATACCAACAAAACAAAAGGTTACAAGCACATGGACAGTTACAGTGAGTTTGCGTGGTGAATATTATTATGTGTGTGTATTGTGGTCAGTGTTCGTACGTACGTGTATTGGTATTGTTCATAGCGTGTTCCCAGAATTTGGGAAACACTGTATTGGTGAGAGCTCACATATTGGTATTAGCTGAAATGAAGAAAGGAGACAAAGAATTACCTTACCGCCACGCGAGGTGGATACGGCCTAAGGCCTGAGGGGAAAAAAGAGAGCGAGGCGAAATCTCACCCAGTATTTATAGCTAGGGGAGAGAGACCCCTGGTGAAGTATTAAGGAACTAAGGAGAAGCTAACTCCGACATAAAGAAAGGAGGAAAAAAAAAAAAAAAAAAACGCTGGGAGTAAGACATTATTTCCAAAAGACAGTTTAAAGATATTTAAGGTTCTTTCCACATTTAGAATTATTTCTTTATCACCGTATACGGAATGTTCTAGAATTACTGTAAAAGTTCTATAATTTCATTATTTCAAATTATTTTGATTTTAAGTCTACAGAATACATAAATCGAGTAGAACAATAATAAATTTTATTTTTACTTCCATGAATATTTCTTAATGCATAAAAAATCTATCCATGCTTACGTATGAAGAGGTCTGTACAGAGCAGCCATATTCTTAGCATTTAGTAAAATGCTAAAAATAAAATATGAACTGAGAGAGAAGGAAGGACAAAAGACATTTTTGAGAAGTCATTTCCTTGAGAGAGTCAAGGAGGATGTCGAATTAGAAAAGCGACAATAGAAAAAAAATACTTTGAAAATATTGAAGAAAAACTTTGAATGAGAAAAAAAAAAATGAAAAAAAATCCTTCAGGAAGTTTTAAGTTGTATTCTGAATGTCTTAAAAAAAATAAATAAATAAAAGACATACGTCAAACCAATAACCACAGGTTAAGAAAGGAGATAATAAAACAAAAACAAAGATGGACGTTTCTTCTTTGATGGGCATTATTAGCTGTGGTACTGAAGCCACTTTTCCCGATGCTACCATTTGTACCATTTGCATTGTCACTAAAGTTGTGGTTGCTTACAGACATTGGAGAAAAAGAAAAAGAGTGCTTAGTTACATGTCATGATAAAGGACGACAAAGGAATATGTGTGTGGGTTAGTAGCTGAGCATAGTATTAAAGATCTTAGTTCCTACATTCTCATGCTAATAGCCTGTTGTAATACAATTAGTCAAGTACTTGAAAAATCGGGTGTCCACAGGGAAAAAACAATCAGACAATACGGTTAACTTATTTTGCTTCAATTGGAAGAGAGGAGGGAAAGAGAAAGTGATTTAGTAAAGAAGCAAGCAAAGAACAGACTGATAAGCAACTCTTTATAACATTGTTAGCTTCTTAAAATTAAAAGTTTTGCTGTTGTGTATGTGCCCATATCTATTTACGAAACATTACATTGCCTTCTATTGATGTATATATGGATATTGTCGGAGTTAACTCCTCCTTAATTTTCCAAATTGTTCACTAGGGGACGCTACTCCTAAACTATAAATACTAGTGTCTCTCATCCTCTTTTTTTCACTTTGATATTTCAGCGGACACTACAACAATGTAGGCTCTCGTGGGAAACGCCATGAAACACAAACATACGTACGAACATTCACTGACACACGAAATTTCTACGCACACACGTTAATGTCTTTGTCCCTTTGTAAATTCTGTTGTTGTTTAA